ACTAATAAGAAAGGTTTCAAATTTCATTTATAAATTTAAAAAAAAATTGAGAAAATCAATTTCAGTTTATTGTTTAAATAAGTTATTTTGTAATGATTCCATGTAAAATTTAAATTTGCTGTACACACAGTTCATTCATATATAAATTTGTTGTGTGCATATTCATTAAAATTCTAAAAATATTATTGATAATAGTACTTTCTTAAGTGAAATACACAACGGATCAACTCACATTAAGGTCCGCCAGTGGTTAAGCGGTTCCTTTCCCTGAACACTGACAGTTCGGTAGGGTAGTGGGTTCACATCTCGCCAGGACAGTCTGGCCACATGGAGTTTTTTGGGTTTTCTCCATGTCTAATGCCTGAATAGTGGCTAGTTACCCTGAAAAAGACCTGTCGGAAGGCATCCCCCTAGGCATATTGCCCAAGTGTTGCGCTGCATTAACTTAATAAACAAACAGACTTGCATTATAATTATGTATTGTAAGAGATATTTAAACATTAAACAAATAATAAGTTTAACGAGGAATAATTCATAAGCTTATCAGTGGAGAACAAGCATAAATTAATTTTAAAGTATCATATAGAGGAATTGATTCAACATATTGGTAATAAAAAACGATATAATNTTAATTTAAGTTTTTTTCAAGTTTTTACGTGGTTGTAAAAATTTGATACGAAGTTTTTACATTATCAGGTATTGTCTTCGCTGTTTTTCTACAAGAACGTCACACAAAAAAGAATTTTGGAGTTAATTTTTTGAAGTTTTGTATAGTCGACCTCCCTATAACACTGTTGATTTTTCCGTTTTATATGAATTCCATGTTGTACGAGTTACTTAGATTTTACAAATACGTGAGCCGTTCACAGCCCGGCACACGTATTTGTAAAATCTAAGTGACTCGTACAACACGGAATTCATATAAAACAGAAAATCAACAGTGTTATAGGGGGCCGACTGTATCTGTATTTATAATAAACACGTTTTGATAATTACAGTTTTCTTCCATTATCAACAAACTTATTGATCAATTAGTAAAATTAATTAACGTGTCTGTCGGTAATCGAATAAAATTGTAATTATAAAGTATTTATCACTCGTAATGTGTTTACTTTTCTTATATCAATTTTTTATTTCTAATTGATCAATGGTTATCAATAATGGAAATTTCTTTCAGAATTATCTCTGGAAAAATAGCTTAAAGGCAATTAAGTAAAAGTACAGTTATTAATATAAATTATTAACATCATAATTATGTAAATAAGGTCCTTTTGATCGATGCATTCGTAAACAGGTCCACAGAGATATTTCGGCTCGCCACTGATTAATTAACCAGCTGGCACGTCGGGTTTTACGGGTTTTTCTTCACGTGTCTAACTCATAAATAGGAACCAGTTTTCCATTGAAAGTTTCCCATTGAAAGTCTTTCATGGAGGCATCCCCCTTGGTAGATCGCTCATGCCTTACGTTGACTTACTCATCAATCCACCCATTTCTTCTCGCCCACTAACGAACTGGTCACTGATAGATGGTAGCGGATTCACTCCTCACCAATAGGCTGGCGCATGGAGTTTTTCTGGTTTTCTCCACGTGTAATTAGGAGCCAGTTTCCCATTTAAAGTCCTCCCACGGACAGGGCCCGCTCTAGCGGTTACGTCACCCCGGACAAAAAGACAAATTGCCGCCCCTTAAGAATATATATATATTTACTTTTCATAGACACAATGTAGTGACACTTTTTAAACATTTGGCAGATTATTCATCTTTTATTACTTTGGTAAAACCTAATAAAAGATGAATAATCTGCCAAGTGTTTAAAATGTGTCACTACATTGTGTCTATGAAAAGTAAATATATATATATTCTTAAGGGGCGGCAATTTGTCTTTTTGTCCGGGGTGACGTAACCGCTAGAGCGGGCCCTGTCCGTGGGAGGACTTTAAATGGGAAACTGGCTCCTAATTACACGTGGAGAAAACCAGAAAAACTCCATGCGCCAGCCTATTGGTGAGGAGTGAATCCGCTACCATCTATCAGTGACCAGTTCGTTAGTGGGCGAGAAGAAATGGGTGGATTGATGAGTAAGTCAACGTAAGGCATGAGCGATCTACCAAGGGGGATGCCTCCATGAAAGACTTTCAATGGGAAACTTTCAATGGAAAACTGGTTCCTATTTATGAGTTAGACACGTGAAGAAAAACCCGTAAAACCCGACGTGCCAGCTGGTTAATTAATCAGTGGCGAGCCGAAATATCTCTGTGGACCTGTTTACGAATGCATCGATCAAAAGGACCTTATTTACATAATTATGATGTTAATGATTTATATTAATAACTGTACTTTTACTTAATTGCCTTTAAGCTATTTTTCCAGAGATAATTCTGAAAGAAATTTCCATTNGCAATAGTAAGATTTAGGGCAAAATTTAACTTTGTAATTAAGCTCAGTACATTGCTTAGGCTTTCTCTTTTGTCCAAAAGCGCAGATACTACTGAAATTTCCTTCGCTAATTCTACCCCATTTATGTCAACAGAATCATCATCAGTTAAAATGCATTCTAAATTCTTACAGTGTTTTAGTAGCATTTCTTTGGTCATGACATTTAAATCGTATATATTATATAAGAATTGAAAATAATTACTATGATTACTAAGTTGTTTAAATCTAGCATCTAGTTGCATTTGTAGTGATCGATTGTAAAAAGAAAATCTATTTTATATTTTTCTTTTGGATCTTTGATGGGTTCATCTCGTGCTTCGTATAAGTTCCTTTTCCTTCTTCTAACGTGGTGTCGTGTTATTGTTGATTCAAAATTAGCATCCACATCAATTTCGGTAGCAAATTCTTTTGCATCAATAATAGTTTCATCGAAGGACGAATCGGACCGAAGATTCTTAAAAAATATTTTGCAGTTTTGTAAAAGATCAAGTGCAAAGGATAGATTAAAATCTTTTGTTTGCATCAATTTGCTTATTGCATTAATGAAATTTAGTATTTTATGCCAAATAACTAATGAACACAAAGACTTACATTATTTAGTACAATTTAATAAACCCGAGGCTTCGTCTCTTATTAACACATCAATATTTTTCTCACACTTACAGCCAAAATGGCACCCTAAACTTTGGCGCCCCGGACAAATGTCCGGGTTGCCCGCCTCTAGAGCGGGCCCTGCCACGGAGTACGTCACCTCCCCTTTGGCAGATCGTCTACGTGTTGTGTTGCCTTATTCCAACCATCCATCCCTCTCAGCAGCCATTTTCTTTTTGATGTTGTTGAACAGAATTAATTCAAAACACAAAATTTGAGATACTGTTTAGTCTGATGATACGGAAATTATATATAATTTCGGAATATTCCAATAATGAGTAGACTATGGATTGTTTGGGCCCACAGTTTTGTAATTTAGACCTAAATGTCTTGAAAGAAATCCCTGTGCATCTAGTTAAAAGTTAGCTGCGAGTTTCCTTCTATTTTCTACACCAATTTTAATTTTTTTCCTGTGTTCTACATATATTTTTCTATTGTGATCATTGAAAATTATTATTAAAACACTCTCCGATTGATGTTTTTAAACCTTCAAATGCCCACGAAGTCTGGGATTCACACTCAATTCTTCGTTCACTTTACGCGTACTTTTAAGTCAATTTATTATCATTTTTACACTTAAAAAAACAAAGGAATGACGTCAAACTGACGTAATTACATTAACCTAACAATACATGACATAATGTTATTTATATGGAGTTTGTATTCGGTTTGTGGCTCCAAGTTACAATGTTGTTTCTCACATCTCATAGCAAATAAAGTCATTTCGTATTGGACATTATTAGATAAACCTCATCTAAATTTGATATTTCAATTGTCAGGAAAATTTCTTTACTGCGAAATTCAACCACTAGGGCAAAATTTAGCGCTGTTATTCCCCTAATAGGCATATTGCTTATGGTGCAAAGTATTGTTTTATATTTTTTTTTATAGAACAATGCTAATTAAAGATATTTATTGCTGATATTATAACATGAAAATAATTAAATTATTCTATAAATACTTATAGAAAAATATAAAATTTACAATATCTTTTCTGAAATTTCATATTGTTATTTATATATATTACAAAAAAAAAAAAAAAAAAAAAAAAAAAAAAAAAAAAAAAAAAAAAAAAAAAAAAAAAAAAAAAAAAAAAAAAAAAAAAAAAAAAAAAAAAAAAAAAAAAAAAAAAAAAAAAAAAAAAAAAAAAAAAAAAAAAAAAAAAAAAAAAAAAAAAAAAAAAAAAAAAAAAAAAAAAAAAAAAAAAAAAAAAAAAAAAAAAAAAAAAAAAAAAAAAAAAAAAAAAAAAAAAAAAAAAAAAAAAAAAAAAAAAAAAAAAAAAAAAAAAAAAAAAAAAAAAAAAAAAAAAAAAAAAAAAAAAAAAAAAAAAAAAAAAAAAAAAAAAAAAAAAAAAAAAAAAAAAAAAAAAAAAAAAAAAAAAAAAAAAAAAAAAAAAAAAAAAAAAAAAAAAAAAAAAAAAAAAAAAAAAAAAAAAAAAAAAAAAAAAAAAAAAAAAAAAAAAAAAAAAAAAAAAAAAAAAAAAAAAAAAAAAAAAAAAAAAAAAAAAAAAAAAAAAAAAAAAAAAAAAAAAAAAAAAAAAAAAAAAAAAAAAAAAAAAAAAAAAAAAAAAAAAAAAAAAAAAAAAAAAAAAAAAAAAAAAAAAAAAAAAAAAAAAAAAAAAAAAAAAAAAAAAAAAAAAAAAAAAAAAAAAAAAAAAAAAAAAAAAAAAAAAAAAAAAAAAAAAAAAAAAAAAAAAAAAAAAAAAAAAAAAAAAAAAAAAAAAAAAAAAAAAAAAAAAAAAAAAAAAAAAAAAAAAAAAAAAAAAAAAAAAAAAAAAAAAAAAAAAAAAAAAAAAAAAAAAAAAAAAAAAAAAAAAAAAAAAAAAAAAAAAAAAAAAAAAAAAAAAAAAAAAAAAAAAAAAAAAAAAAAAAAAAAAAAAAAAAAAAAANTTTTTTTTCCCCTTAGTGATAAAAATGTAAATGGCATGATTTATGTAAATGGAGAGAGGAGAATACAGAAATCATTCCAGAAATTCCTCTGCTATGTTCCCAGTAATAGCATACCTCTTCCTAATTTATCATTAAAAGAAACACTTATGACAGCTGTCAATTTAAAATTTAATGATGTTACCAGAGAAGAAAAGTGTAAATTAGTATGAATATTGATTTATTCATTGAAAAAAAAAAAAAACTAATTATTAAATTGTCTTCTGTAATAAGATATTGTTTTTTTTTTTATAGGTAAAAGATGCAATTCGTTATTGGGGTTTAACCGAATGTGAAAACACGCTTGTACGTAATCTTTCGGATGGAGAAAAAAAGCGTTTATGTATTGTACAAGAAATTATTAATAAACCATCATTAATATTTCTAGATGAACCGACCAGGTAAATGTATATTTTTGAAAATAAATGTCCAGATTAACTATGTAACTTTATTAAATAATAATTTTATAATTTTACAGTGGTTTGGATAGTTTATGTTGTTTCCAATGTATTTCAATGTTAAAGGATTTAGCAAATAGGGGTCATACTGTTATATGTAGTATTCATCAAGCCAGTGCAAAAGTTTTTGAGCAGTTTACCAAAGTATGTATATTTGATATGTTTTCTTTATATTATTATAAATTCAATATGTTCATTTACTTGATTAAATTACAAAAAATTATTTATTTTTCTAAAGAATTTCTGTGTATGAGAATTTGTTTCATAATGTGTAGATACAAGATACAAGATAAACTACTGTATATGAGATTTTCTGCTCTGGTTCAAGAAACATTTACAAGAGCTTTCAAAATGGCTAAGTTACATGCCAAAATCACATTTTATAGGTTATGTAGGATATAAAAAATTATTAATTTTTGTAATTTTTTAAATAGATAATTAACTTTATATAATACTTATTATACAGTATATGGTACAAAATATTATTACTTTGTATTCTTTATTTTTACTACTAGTAATTTGTTTAGTAGGAAAAACCATTACTATTAAACTATTAATGTGATAAACAGAATGAATATTGAATAAATGCTTAAAAGTACAGCAAATTTTGTATAATAATAAACAATGTTTCTACAATGTTAATAAACAATGTTTGAAAAATAATAAACAATGTTTCTACAATGTTAATAAACAATGTTTGAAAAATAATAAACAATGTTTCTACAAATTGTTTATTATTTCTCACTTTTGTAGTCCAAAATCAGCCTTTCCTAGCTGTCAAGTTAGCCTCTTTTATAATATATTATAGTTTATAACCTTAGATCATAATAATAAAAATGTTAAATTATATATAAATATATTTAACATTTATTCAAGTTGAAGAAAGGAGTCAAAGTTAATTCAACAAAAAATAGTCATTGACCTCCTCCTGAAAGAGAGGATGGTCAACGACTACTCATTAATACTGGTCTACTATTAATATTTGAAAAGTGATCCATGTTTAATGGGTTTTGATGGCCTCGCATGTGATTGAAGTTGCTAACCTTAAAGTTTGAAAGACTTCGTATGACTTGTTTAAATAAAACTTTTTGTAAAAATGCTAGAATAATTGCATTTATGTGCTTGTAAATATTGCATTTATGGAAAAATTATTTGGCTGCAATTTGAAAAAATTGTAGACCTATAAATTTCCACTGTTGTCACTTATCTATCTGTCCTTCTTTAATCTTGACAAAAATGTTAGATAGATGAATGTTAACACCAGATGTGTAAATCATAAGAGAAAAGCACAAGATTACCTATATATGAACTTCTGATTTGTACTGCAAGTCATGTTATTTCAATACAAAAATTTTTCCCCGAACAGAGTTAGATACATAACATGCACAACTCTCTTCCTAACAGGAAAAGTATGATGTACAGGGGCAAAACACTACTACACTCCACAGCACATACAAAGGATACCACCAACTAGAATGATCAAACAAGGCTCCCTGTCACCTTCAACCCATATGTTAAAGAAATATATGGAGAAATAGCCAAGAAACAACAAATACAAATAATCTATAGAAGAGGCCCCACCATAGCAGAAATCTTAAAAAATGGGAAAGACCCCCCAGATCTCAACAGAATGTACGGCGTATACTCTATCCCTCTAGTGGATAACAGATGGCAAAAATAACTCATGTATATTGAATCTACTAAGCACTTGTTAAAGACCAGATTATGGGAACACCAAGCTGATCTACAACACAGAAGGCTCACTACAGCCTTAAGTATTTATGCATCAGACCAGGACGTTGAGGCAGAACTCGACAAAGCTAAAATCGTTGCAACCACATCCCCCCCAGAGCACATAAAATGGTTAGAAGCTATGGCTGTTTATAAAATACATGCATCAACCAAAAAGAAGAGCTCAACCTATCACCAGCCTGAGAAATCCTCCTAGACAAGTATCTGTCAGAGCGGAATTTGGCGAACTTTTCTATTTGAAATCTCCTGTTTTATTTTTTTCTCAAGTATTCCATTTCCACCTGAAGAAGAACTTCATAAAGTTCGAAAATGTTTTGTGGGATGATCTTTTATAGGATACACATCGGTAACAGGTTCAATTTTTTGATTGTATGTGCAGAAAAATATTTTAAGTTTTATAACTACAGGTATACCTCGCCTTACGTCGTTAATTGGTTCCAGGAAAACGACGTAAGTCGAATTTACTTGTCTCCGAATCTACTTGTCACTAGGCTAAACCATAAATTACCATTCCCAGTTCTGTATTTTATTTATTAATGCATTTTTAATAATGTATGGTTAATAAGGATCTATTTTAAGCTTACAAACAAATTTTAGTTTTTAATATAGTACAGAAAAAAGTAATCTAAATTTACGAATGCATGTACTGTAAATACAGTACATACTTGTAAATGTATATATTTTAATATGATTTTATGTGCTTTAAACGCTTTTCTAGTGATATTACGACTTCAATATTTGTGGCAGACAGACGTAAAGTCGAATAAAATGACTTAAACTTGGCTTTTATTTTTCCATATACTTTTTTGACAAATGACGTATAATCGGGAACGATGTAACTCGAAACGACGTAAGTCGAGGTATACCTGTATATGTCATATAATACATCCTATACCAGATAACAGCAAGAATCAAAATGCAAATTCAATACTTATCTATTTTTGAATTCAAATGCTCAGACAAGAAAACATCTCAGACTTTTACGGCTTTTCAAGAGTGTTTCTGTATAGAATGCTGAAGGAAACTGTTTATGAATGATGAAATTCATTTAACTTATTTTTCAATCATTCTTTCTTTATAATTATAAATAATACAACCATCTGTTTTTGTAAATTTTAGTTATATGTCTTAGTTGAAGGCCAATGTTTGTATGATGGATTGACAAACAATCTTCTAACATTTTTATCAAGTCAAAATCTTGAATGTCCATTATATCATAATCCTGCTGACTTTGGTAAGAATTATCATTTTTTAATTCCAAATTTATTACATTATATTATATTATAATTTATGTATTTTTAGTGTCTTATTTTTCTTGCATTATCATCAATAATGATGTAATTTATATTAGTTTTTGAAAACTTCTTGAAAACATTATTTTAAAAAGAACAGTTTAGTCATGTGATTGATGTAATTAAAATTAAAAATATGTATAAAATATCTTGCATTTTTATTAATTTTGAAAGCTTTTTAATTAAATAGATAAAATGCAATTTATGATAGTTTTTTTAATATCTATAATAAATTACCTTATTTACTTAAAGATAAAATTAATTGTTCAATATATTATTAATACACATTATTCATTAAGTTGTTGGGCTGCAATTTGAAAAAACTGTAGACCTATAAATTTCCACTGTCATTAGCCTGTCTGTCTGTCTTTAATCTTGAGAATGGTGTTACATAGATGAAAGTCAAGACCAGACATGGAAAGCTTAAGCTTAGGCTTTAAGCTTAGGAGCAAGAGGCCCAAATTAACTATACAGGGTGTATCAGAATGACGTTTTAAAAATTTGGGGGATTATAGAGGATGAAATTTTGAACATTTTGATATAAGGAACCTATAGCCGGAAATGTGATATAACGTTTCTACAGCACTTTGCACATTCTATGCAGTTGGTATGCTGAATGAAACAGCAGAATACAGTATTTATGACAAGTTTTATTGACAAAACAATAGAGTACAATCAAACTGTACATCAAATCAGTGGCTGCACTACATTACAGTAAATGTTCAATGTGATGACCACCAACTTCGACTCACGTTGACTAGCTGTGTGTTTACAGCACAGCACCAGTGGATGCAAGGAGTGACCTGAAGGACAACAAGCACTAAGGGCACAACGTCCTGTACACAGGCTCAGTTAGACGACTGTAGTTCTGTGTTTACAGTCTTCCATCTGCAGCAATAACATGACGTCAATGGACGGAAGGGTAGCTACCAAAGTAAAGAGCGGTAAAGCACTTCCTACCACTGTAGACACTTTAGTTCAAATTTCTGGCTTTGATATAGGTATATCAAAACATGCAAAATTTTATCCTCTACAATCCTCCAAATTTTTAAAACGTCATTCTGATACACCCTGTATACAAACTTCTGCTTTGAGCTGGAAGTCATGTTATTTCAAAAATTTTTTCCTGAATGAAGTTAGCATGACCATCATGACTACATTGTTAACAGGAAAAGTAAGATGTACAGGGGCATGACACAACTGAACTTAAATGCAATGTGATGAAAAATTGCTGCTTGGCATTGTGACAATGTCACAATAAATAATTCCTTGTTACAGTATAATTTCCTTTATCCATTATTGGATAATACAAAGTCCAGTTTATTATGAAGTCATTTTCCACTCCTGTGAGTAAAGATAGGGATTATGATACTTTGTCATTTTACAGTCATTTTAATATTTTGCATAGATAGATTATCTATGCAAAATATTATCTGAATAGATTCATTCTGCAAGTGATTCAGATAATTGAAAATTCAGATAAATGAACTAACATGTAAAGAATGAAATTACAGGGTAATGGCAGTGTTGTACATGTATTTATTTTAGATATTTATTTTTCATTAATGTACTGTACAAGTAACATCCTACTGATCATTTGGATCTGTCACAGCAAATAGACATCACTGATCATGCAGTTACATGATGTAAGAGAATTGTAGTATGACATCAGTGGGAAAGAAAAAGGAGGGCAAATGGTGGTTTGGATAATTAGACATTCAGATAATCAGAGTTCTACTGTATAATAGAATAATTTTTACATTATTGGACAACTTATGTTACTACTTTATATTAAAAGTTACCATTAAAATGTCATAAGATATAAGCTTATTTTATTAGATTTTATCTATATGATGTCAATTAAAATTAGTAAAAAAATAATTGTGTTATAATATTTAAAATACTTCTCTGTATAATATTAATTAATTAATGTTAATGTGCATTGGTTTAAAATGGATAGTATAAAACAAAGTTTGTATAATTATTTTCATTTACACATACATTTTGTAACTGACACACAAAATATTTAGTATCTTATTGTTTTACTATATAAAAATTCATTAGATAAGTATACATTAGATAATTTTATTTAAATAATTTTTTAAAACTCTTTCTAGTCATGACTTCTGAAGATATTATTAAAGTGAAGATGATAGATTTGAACAGAGAGTTTTCGGAATTTGTTTTATCCAAACAAACACTATGAAAATTATACATATATATGCTTGCAGCTCTTCTAGACATTTACTGCATCTTTCTTATGAGTTATATAAAATACAGTTTCAATAGAGAATGCAGCTCTTATATTTCTAATAGGTGACATATGGCTCCTGTAGTGACAAAGTTTGGTCAGCCCTGATGTATATGTGAAATCAAATATTTCTGAAATTTTTTATAACAAATTCATTTTTACATTTATTTTAAACTGTACAATGTCATAACAAAAAATATATTAAAATACATGTTTTAAAAAATGTATATAAATTATGGAAAATTAAATATTATATCTGAAGTATCATGAATTTGAAGTTAAAGCAATTAAACTAAGTTTTAATTTTCATAAATTAAATTAGAATATACCATAATGTAATGATGGAAGGGCAAAACTCATAGTGATAATGAGCAATTATTTAAAAAATAGTAGAATTTCTACACCGGAGTACTGTAAAATGCACGTACCTATAAACCTTTTACTGGTATGTGTCAAGTGTGCAAGCAATTATTTATTGTTACATCATCACAATGCCAAACTGCAATTTTTAATCATATTTTTAATTTATTTAATTTAAAATACATGGTCTCCATGTCAAATTAGTACTGTAGTGTCTTACCCAAGTACATTATACTTTTCTTTTACCAATAGAATCATGCCAGTCATCTATCTAACACCTTTCATTGAATTGAAATAACATGACTTCCAGTTTGCATTGGAAGTTCGTATATAGTTAATCAGGGCCTCCTGCCTCTAAGGCTTCCATATCTGGTCTTGTCTTTCATCTGTCTAACTCTGTTCTGGAGCTTAAGTAAAGACAATAGACAGGCAACAGTGGGAATTTATAGGTTTACAGTTTTTTCAAATTACAACCAAAAATGAATAATAAACCATTTAGTTAATAATAAACTATCTGTTATTTTTATAGAATATATTTTTTAATTTTCAGACAAAACTATAAATAAAAAAGATAACCAATATTTGAAATAATTTTTTTAATTAAATATTTAAGTTATAGAAATAGCATTAGGTGTTAATATGACTGCAGAAGAAAGTTTGAATATGAGAAATAAATTAATTGCTGTGAATGCTGAAAAATACAAATGTACTGAAACTGAAACTTTGAAAGAGAAATCAAAACATGCATTTTCTTTAATGAAATTTATGAAAAACTATAAGAATGATGCAGTAGCTTCAGATGAAATTATGTGTACATCAAACTTGTTGAAAAATAATCAGGTAAATTCTAATGAATATTAAATTAATATTTTCAAATGCTTTATTTAAATTTAAATCTTCTAAATTCATTTTTCAATAATAAAGCTGTAAAATCTATAGAAATACGAGCTATATTCAAATAAGATCTCAGAATTCATTTTTATTTATTATTATTTTTTTATGTTAAAAGTTCTAGAAACTTTGAAATTGAAAATCAGATGCTACAAAAGATTCAATTGTCCAAAAATAAATTTTTGAAGAAAATTTTTTCCAATAACACTAGTGAAATTTAAGTAAGGCTTAATTACAAGTCGATCCCCCTATAACATTGTTGATTATTCTGTTTTATATGAATTCCATGTTGTACGAGTCACTTAGATTTTACAAATACGTGTGCCGGGCTGTGAACGGCTCATGTATTTGTAAAATCTAAGTGACTCGTACAACATGGAATTCATATAAAACGGAATAATTAACAGTGTTATAGGGGGGTCGACTGGTAATGAGTTTCACCAGAAAACAGTTACAGTATTAAAGGTAATCAGCATATTATAACTTGACTTTTATTTCTGTTTAATCCTTTATAAATTTCCTGATGTGAAGCTACATTTAACTTGCTAAGCTCTGAAAATTTCTTCTTTCCTGGAGACAAAATTGCTTTTATTCTGCAGGTTAAGGGGAATTTGTATAGCAAAATAAGTCAAACAACTTTCCCTTCAGCCAATTTTGTCTTGGATAGATTAAACCAATGGTTTAAACATTAATGTTATTGATGAAAATATTTAATTTTAAAAAGTAGTAATGAGGAATTTTTATAGGAACTTTTTGAGGAACTAAAATACTGTATTAAACTGAAACTTTCATGTAAAATAATATTTTGTTACATTGTTCTGATTGTATTAAATTGAAATTGTGTAACTTGTGTACTGTATAAATCAATGGTTAGATATATTTAATGGCAGATTTAGTGGGTGCATAGGGTAAATCTTCTTGAATTGGTAATTTATTTTAATATTATATGAAAGTATTGATAGATTTGAACAGAGAGTTTTCAGAATTTGTTTTATCCAAACAAACATTATGAAAATTATACATATATATGCTTGCAGCTCTTCTAGACATTTACTGCATCTTTCTTATGAGTTATATAAAATACAGTTTCAATAGAGAATGCAGCTCTTATATTTCTAATAGGTGACATATGGCTCCTGTAGTGACAAAGTTTGGTCAGCCCTGATGTATATGTGAAATCAAATATTTCTGAAATTTTTTATAACAAATTCATTTTTACATTTATTTTAAACTGTACAATGTCATAACAAAAAATATATTAAAATACATGTTTTAAAAAATGTATATAAATTATGGAAAATTAAATATTATATCTGAAGTATCATGAATTTGAAGTTAAAGCAATTAAACTAAGTTTTAATTTTCATAAATTAAATTAGAATATACCATAATGTAATGATGGAAGGGCAAAACTCATAGTGATAATGAGCAATTATTTAAAAAATAGTAGAATTTCTACACCGGAGTACTGTAAAATGCACGTACCTATAAACCTTTTACTGGTATGTGTCAAGTGTGCAAGCAATTATTTATTGTTACATCATCACAATGCCAAACTGCAATTTTTAATCATATTTTTAATTTATTTAATTTAAAATACATGGTCTCCATGTCAAATTAGTACTGTAGTGTCTTACCCAAGTACATTATACTTTTCTTTTACCAATAGAATCATGCCAGTCATCTATCTAACACCTTTCATTGAATTGAAATAACATGACTTCCAGTTTGCATTGGAAGTTCGTATATAGTTAATCAGGGCCTCCTGCCTCTAAGGCTTCCATATCTGGTCTTGTCTTTCATCTGTCTAACTCTGTTCTGGAGCTTAAGTAAAGACAATAGACAGGCAACAGTGGGAATTTATAGGTTTACAGTTTTTTCAAATTACAACCAAAAATGAATAATAAACCATTTAGTTAATAATAAACTATCTGTTATTTNTTGTATTGCATTTGACATTAACTGCTCCTGACTGCTGGTGATTTATGGCGACGAAACTGTTAAAATTCCTGTTATTTAATCTGAGATTATCGGCTTTATGTAGCAAGATCATAGAATAAAAACAATCCTAATTTGTTACAGGATCTATTCATGCTAATAGTGAAAAACTTACAGTTAAACCGTAGATAAAAAAGTAGTCTTTACATTCTTTATAACTATATTTAAAATTATAATTATGATATTAGATGATTTCTAGTAAACATAATATAATGAAATGATTCAGTAAGATGCTTATGGAGACAAAGATTATCAACTGTCACATGATGGCAGTGGCAGACTAGGCTGGATTTAATGGATCCAGTTAAGGCTTGTAAACAATATAGGTATTAAATGCCCCAAAGCCTTAAGTAAAGATATAAATTTTAAATTATAATCAGAAAGCATTTTTATGTTATTTTTATCAAACCATAGGATTTATAACATTAGTTATTAATTGCATTTGGGATCTCAAGCTTCAGCTTTCATAGAATAAAGGAACAATTTTAAAGGATCTTATTTAATCCTAGATTAATACAGTATTTAAATTTAAAAATGAAATAAATAGAAGATGGTTGAATTATTTTGTAAAAACTAATGAATTATATTATATACTTAGCATATAGTGACAAAAATGAAGGTCCATTCATAAAAAATGGCACCACACAGTACCAAGTGTTCAAGAACATGAAGAAAGCAAATCTCATGTTAAATGCATTGTAAGCTATATGTTAAAACTAAAAAATAGAGACATCTTTAATACATTATTTATTAAAGTGTCAACATTGCAACAGAAAATTGCCTGGAAAAGAAAAGAAATTATGGAAAGAGTAATAAATGTTATTAAGTTAATTGGTAAAAGAGGATTGGCTTTTTGAGCTTCATAGGTTTAAAAGTACTTATAACTCGAGCTCAGAAATTGACAAAGCAAGCAATTGTAATTTTCTAGAGATAATTTTATTACTTTCCAAATATGACCCAGTATTCAAAATACATTTATAGAATGTGACAAAATCCAGTCAAAACCGAAGAAAAATTAGGTACTTCTCTATGAGGTAGAGGTGGTCTTATAACATTACTTTCAAATTATCATTAATTATGTAATTTTTGCAATTTAGCATATAATCAGAGACAGAATAGTAAGGGAAATTAGAGGCCACTTTCTATTTGCTGCAAATCGACGCTACAACTGATATTACGCAAAATAATCAATGTTCAATTATTATCATTCATAAACTTTTTTACTTAAAATATAGAGTTATTAGTATGTTAGACTGTAAGAATTCAACTAGACAAGGGACATGTAACATAACTGAATTTTTGGAAAGTTTTGATCTAGATTTAAAGAATTGCATTGGAAGTTAGAAATGTGAGAAGAGACTGCCCTTTTTAAAATACTTGAACTTAAAATTTTAAGTGTGTTTCAAAGAACAAAATCTTTTATTTAATGGTTTGCAAACTCTCTCACATAATCTGATAATTTTATTGTGGACAAACATTTGTCTCCAACAAATATTGACCTGAACTCATAAGATTCATATGCATGCTTGAATGATTAGTAAATTGTTACATTCCAGTTTTATGCATTTATTATTATCTAATATTTCAATTCAAATTAACAGAGCATTATTTATGAAGCTACACCTAAATATGCAAGAAACACCTGGTATCAGTTTCTCATTTTACTCAATCGTGCTGTTTTAAGCATAATGAAAGAACCTGTAAGTAATAGAGTATTTTTATCATTCTTATACTATAGTGTCATATATGTTTATAATATTTTATCAAAGTTAATACTGTATAAATAAATTATATATTTTTATTTCAGTTCATAATTTATTTCAGTTCAGCAGTTCATATAATTATTGGAATTCTTATGGGATTGATGTACTATGGCATTGGCAATGATGCTAGTAAGATACAAGATAATACTTCTTGTCTCTTGTTTACTCTTGTATTTATTGCATTTACATCAATGGAAGTCACAGTACTAACATGTAACTATTTCAATTTTTATTACTTGTTTATTCATTCACATTTCTTAATAATTTCTTGAGTCAATGTCACTAAGATGCATATAGAATAATAATAGTTAGATGAGAGAATATTTAATTTTTTATAATTTAAATGATATTTGAAATATACAAGATAATATTTTGATCAATTTGCTTGATTTAATCCATCAAGCAAATGTTAAGGTGCCTATTAGAAAGCGCAATCAACAAAACCTTTAACGTTCGGTAACGAAATTTAATATAAAAATTGATGAATGTTTTCGATCTTTTGTTGATTGTGCTTTGTAATTCGTTCTAGTTATTCAGAAGAAGGTAATTTGTCTGTTAGAATTTTGTAAAAATTTTGATACACTGATAATCAAATTACTGGAAATTTAAACATTTTAAAGATAGGTACTCTTGAAATATGAATTTCTGTACATCATTATAAATGCCAACATACTATTTTTCAGAAGTCTATAACTCCTTATTACTCTAATAACATTATATTTCCTGGAAAATAATTTTGGATGGCTTTTGATTGAAATGTTTATTATATTTAAAACAACTTCTAAATATTAACACAAGAATAGTTCAAGAAGTAAGTTATATGCCAGCAGTGCCGTAACTAGCCATTCCTGTGCCCTGTGCAGGAATTTGCATTTAGGCCCCTTAATTAATTAGGTTTGGGAAAGTAATAAAACAAATACATGCATTTTGGGCCCCTCTTCCAAGTGGGCCCCGTGCGGGTGCACCTGTTGCACCTGCCTAGTTACGGCACTGTATGCCAGCATAATTACTGTCCATTAAGGGATAAAAATTTTTCACTTGGTGCTAGCATTGGTGGTAATATATCTCTCTACTGAACAATTTTCAAATTTGTAACTTGTTTAGTACATATACTTCATTTGTTCAAATTTATTGTGTCTCTTAGAAACCTCATTGGCTATGTTTAAGATGCCAAAGTTGACAGTGTGTGACCAATAAATGCAATTTTCATTTTATTGTATAGTATTTACATATTTTACTTATTGTTTTCATGTTTTAATATATTATTTAGGGCATTTGATTGTTATTTTTACCATAAATTATGTGTATGTGTTGTTTTATGTTCGTCTAAATGGTTATTGTTTAGTGTCTAGAAATGGATTAATTCACTTCCATTATTACTAATGGGAAAAATTGAAATGAATTAAATTTGAAGTGCAAGGCACCAGTGTACTTGTGTAATAGTTATTTTCCAAAACAATATTTGTATCACTCTTTTTGTGTGTGCGTGATTTTTTTATATTTTTTTCTAAGGGGAAGATATAATTTACCTTTTGATTCACTCTTGTATTGAAAGTTGTTTTAAATGCAAATATTATTTTTCTAACATTCATTGTTTTAAATTAATAAAATGTGTTTGGCATTTTCTTACATAACACATGACCTATCCTTAAAACATTTATGTTTAGTTTCAAAAATAAGTTTTTGAAGTATCCTCATATATAGAAAAATATTATATCACTTGTAATTTCTGCAATAAATAATTATTGAAAAAGTTTTAAAATATGTACAGTACTTTTAATTTTTTATTACATTATATTATTTATAATCACAGCATTAGTTTTCATTAAAATAAAGAATGATGAATTCTTAAAATGGATATAAAAATATAAAATTTTTATATAAAAGTTACTTAAAGCAGTTTAAAAATCTATTATACAAATAATTTTTTATTGGGTTACAAACAGCTTTTTTCTTTACAAGCTGATTCCTATTTTTCTACAAAAAATAAAAATAAAAAAAAAGCTTTAATTTTATATCTTTCATTCAGTTCTGCAGATATGGAATTTATGTTTATATATTCAGAATTATTTAAATTTTTTTTATTCTGTAGTGTTTGCAAAAAGGAATATAGAATTAAATTAATAAAACTGATGAACACACTTGATGCCAAATTAACACAATTAATAAATACATACTGTTTTTTGGCATTAAGTTTAATCCAAATTTATGCAAGTACTTTCAACATTTTACAGATGTTGTCTTCAGGTAGAATATTCTAAATACTATTCTGCCTGGATAATTGTAAAATGTTGAAAGCACTTGCATGTATTTGGATTAAACTACATTAATGCTGAAAGACAGTGTGCATTTATTAATTAGGAAAACAGAAATAAAGCACTAAAAATTAGTTTTTGTAGTCAAATTATATCAAAAAATAAAAGCCTGATAAGTACAGTAATTAGATCAATGATAAGGTAACAAGGTCAATAATTGATTCCCTTGTTAGTTTTGTATATTAAAATCATTTATATCTGTTTCGTATTTTTTAATTACAATTAATAAAAAATAATTTTTGTGTATTTTACTTTTTTTTTTTAGTTAACAATGAAATGGCTCTCATTCAGCAAGAAATATTTAACAGATGGTATAATCTCAAAAGTTATTATCTAGCAAGAACATTTGCTGATATTCCTTACAATGTAAGTATGATTTTTTTTTTCTAAACTTCTCAAATTATAATTTTGTAATTTATGCACTAATAATTGTAGGTTATTTCAATCCAAGTAAGATTAAATTAAATTTTTTAAGATTATTAAAATATAAAATTACAGTCGACCCCCCTATAACACTGTTGATAATTCCGTTTTATATGAATTCCATGTTGTACGAGTCACTTAGATTTTACAAATACATGAGCCATTCACAGCCCAGCACACGTATTTGTAAAATCTAAGTGACTCGTACAACATGGAATTCATATAAAACGGAATTATCAACAGTGTTATAGGGGGGGTCAACTGTACTGCCTATGTACATTTTCTTAATTCCGTTTGAAATTAAATATATACAAGGTATCTGAAAAGTTACCATGCAGTAGAAAAGATTTAAGTAAAGTTTTACATATGATACTACAGTTTCTCATATAGCAAATGCTGGGAATGTTCCCATGAATTCAGGTCAAATTCCACAGGAAATTATGTAGTCAGCAAAGAAGTTTTACAAAAATTGTAGTCCAAAAACCAGAACATCTATGACTAAGCAGTAATACCATCTACCATGAAGAGGAAATGCATAACAGGTCTTGTATGCAACACTGAATGTGTAACTTTAATGTTGTTACAAATTTCTCACATCACAATAACTTTGTGGACAATCTTTATATCAATAAAATGAAATGTATAGAAAAGTCAAGTACTTAATTTCTTAAATGATGCAAACACTAGGAAGGAGCTAACAGCTGTTAATTTTATAATTACATTTAGAAGATTCTCTATTTAGAAATTCTGGTTACTCTAAAAAGATGAATAAATTAATTTATCCTTTTATATCATGTGAATTTATAAATCTTATTAAGAATATAATTTTAATTTATATTTAAACTTTATATCTAATGTTGATAAATAATATAATTTGATGATAATTATCTATATTTCTAGTCTTATCAAATTTCTTTTTATTTCTAGAAAATGTAAAAAACTAATATTCTAAATTTACTTACATGTTTATAATACAGCTGAGATATGTACAAGTTAAATTCTTATTAAAAAATTCACTCCATTTCTTTATAGTCTAAGGGTTCATCTTCCAAGTCATATAAGTAAAAATTATTGGAATCATTAGGCTGCACTGCCGACAGTTCCATTATCAATTACACCTTTGTCAATCCAGCAAAAATTTAATATAATAAAAATGTTTTCAATCGTTTTAAATGATCTTCGTCAGTTACATAAAAAAAACCTTTTATTTTTATTAAATTTTTGCTGGATTGACAAAGGTGTAATTTTTAACTTATTCTTTATCTGGTATATGGTTTATTACAGGTTCTATTATCTTTTCACTTTCTTGTTTCTCTTTTAATTTCTCTATTGTTTCATTCATGTGATTAATCATGATTTCACGACAGCATCCCAGAGCTCCAAGCTTTAACCAGCCACCTCTTTCCATGCATACATTTCATAATTGCCATTACTGTGAATGATGTCCTGGACTTCTGGAATGTCAACATCACACAGCTGATAGAAATTCTGTTGGTAGTGCAGAAGATGATCCACTCCAAAAGTGTAACCCTTTTTTTTTTTTGTTTTTTGTGTCTTCTGAGATATCAGGTTTTGAGGCCAGCTCCTCTCTACAGTTTGCGATTCTTGCTTGCAGCAGATTTATCTTGTTGGATAGAGTGTAGGAAGAGTTGCCATGCTTACTTTCTACTATCACTTCTTTTCCTGGTGTACTTCTGACTCTGAAATCAATTTGCTAATATATTTTTGATTCTGGATTCTTCTTTGGGTCATAACCAAATCTCACCCAGAGACTTCTCCAAGGCCCAGAGGCATTATTATATGCTAACATTGATAAAATTGCCTTCAGACTCAGATGATCACAGTCCAGTTGTGCAGCCAGAGCAATTTTAGACCACAGGGGATCCTCTTCAAACAGCTTCTGAACTTTTTCTGGCAGCAAACTGTCACTGCATTTCATTTTCATGTGCTTTTTGGCATTTTCCATGGGTTTGGTTGGCACTTCATCCTCAAAATTCAGAAAAATTGTGTATCTACATCTGGTCTGCCATTTTTTGCCAATGATATTTGGTGGAGTTTCTATTTTTTGTACTTTAGACATGTTGTGGATGAGAGTATCTCTTTGAAAATTATAATTACTAGGCATGTCTAATCTACTAAACATGACTGGCATGATAAACAGTGGCGAAAGCTCTTTGTACCATGGTGAAAATTGCAGTCCTCTTGGAAAGATTGTGGGAATAATACTCCAAAAGAAGGTTATAAATCTATTAATAATTGGTAAATACTAAAAATCCATCATTCCAAAAAAAAAACTCCACCAAATATCATTGGCAAGTGTTGCATCCAACATTAGCCTTGTGGATTGAGGTTAATTGAAAGTACATTTCTTCCTTCTTTTTATGGCAAAGGTTCAATGAGATATAGAAATGCAACACATGGAAAATGCTTTTCTAGCACCAAAATTTAATATAACTTATAAGACAAATGTATGATGAACACAAATTACAAACAATGGAAATATTAGAAATTTTCAAAGCTATATTGAGAGAACAATGCATCAATAGTAGAGACTTTAGTATTCATTGCATGGCAATCTTTATTGGATAGATATGCTCTAAAACAAGATATGCTGTAACAGTCACGACATCTTTGGAGTCAGTGAAGTTTCCTTCAGCATTCTGTGTAGGAATATCGTATGATGTTTCTACACAGAATGCTGAAGGAAACTGTTTTTGAATGTATAAGTGTGCATTAAATTCGGTAATCCTTTATATTCAACACTCATTATGATTTCAAATGACAATTGCATCAAAGAATATTTTTGTTTAAATTTTGTTCTGGTGAACCTGAATGGAAGCTTATCAAGCAACTCAATAATGTTTGTTTTATTTAATTTTTATGTTGGAAAGGTGTGTAATATATATCTAGTGTTCCAGCTTAGACAATTATTAATATATGTTAACACATCTAATGTCATATGCACATGCACACATAAATGAATCACAGTATGTCCCTTCAGTTTGTTTAAGTATGCTTGTGGGTGTGGAGACTTTTGAATCATTCTGCACAAATGTGTAGAATGATTCAAAAGTCTACTGTTCTTATCCTGTATTTTCAATATTACATTCATATCTTTTTATTGCTTTTGTAGGATTTTCTGTTAGGTCTTCTTTCTCATATTCACTTTCAGTATTTTTTTACATTCTCTAGATATTTCATCATTATTACTAATATAAAATATGTAAAATCTTAGCTACACTTTATTCTAAATAATATAAGTTTTGTAAATAAAGTATACAAAATAAAAGTTGCAATGTTATTTTAAGAATATATAGTTTAATTATAAGCACATTTCTGGCAATATTAATGAATAACTTTATTTTCTTGTATACAAAATATCTATAGATAAAATAAATGATCAAATTGAAGCAATTAAAAAAACTGTTTTAATTATTATTTTATAAAACTTTAATTACAATTAACACCATGTTAAAATTTATTAAATATTCAAATGTATCATAATATTTTAGGTAATACAGCCAGTTGTATTTGGAAGTATTATATACTGGATGACAGGTCAAATCAATGATATACCCAGATTCTGTATTTTTATTTTGATTTGTCTCTTTACCAGTTTAATTTGTCAGTCTGTAGGACTTTGTTTTGGATCAATATTCAAACCTCAGGTAAGTTATTTATAATTTCAAATAAATTGCAAAAAACTGATTTAAAAACTTTTAATATTACTATATCTTTAAAACATATTTCAGAATGCTTTATACCTTTCTGCAAGTTTTATTGTTCCACATATATTATTTTGTGGTTTCTTCATTCGTTTTAATGTAATTCCATCATATTTGAAGTGGACTACTTACGTATCAATTTTTCGTTATGGTTTTGAAGGAATGCTTATTTCTACATACAGTTTTAATCGGACTTTATTACACTGCCCTACAGAATATTGTATATTTCAAGATCCTGAATATTTCTTACAAGAAATGGGAATAACACATTCTTTACTTTATATAAATTTGATTGTTATAATTTCATATTTCTTTATTTTAAGGATTGTAGCATATTTCTTATTGTCATTGAAAATTAAATATTTTTAATATGTATTTTAAATCTCAACTTTTTGTTATTAAAATTTATATATGCTCATTTTAAAGTTTCCAAGATACAATATAAAATTTTAATATTAATTTTCTATATTAATAATTTTTACTGTGAAAAAATTATTAATATCTTTGATGTAAAATTTGAAAAATATTATTGAATAATACAGGTATATTTGATTTCATTCTTTATTATATATTATAAAACTTTTGAACTATAAACTGGATGATTATTTTTCGGTATTTTCAATATAGTCAAGAATGCTTAAGAGAGTATCCTCATTGTCATGCTCACTTATCCAAAGTAACAAGATCACACAGAGGGTCATTAATGATATTCAATTCGCCACTTTTTCATGTCTTAAGTGCTCTATGTAACTTATGAAACACTTGGAAATGTTAAAATTCATTATCATGTAATTTTGTTGTACTTACAAAATATTGGTTTCCATTTTTATATCATCAATAGCAGATCTAGAAGAATCCAAAGGAAAGGAGAAATCAAAAGTTAAAAATATTTAAATAATTAATAATGACAATTTAATAAAGTAAAAATTACATTACATATACTGAACATATCCTCATTCCTCACCCTGTCCAATCACCAGGAAAACTATTCTTCACTACAGAGATGACCACTCTTTGTGGGCTACTACTCTGCACAGATATGTAAAACAGTCTAAAATGTCCACAGGTGATAATCCCAACACAATTAAAAATATAACATTTCTTTGTAAAAAAGGGCTGGCGGAAAGGGCATTATTAAATTGTAATTTCTGCCAGCCCTTTTTTTACAAATTAATAATGACGTTTTAATAACATGCATGGCAAATGTATTGTGGATAATCTAATAAACCATATTTGTCATTATAAATGCTTTTAAAAACAATGTTTTGAAGTTTGAACAAATAAATGTTAATTTTTTGTCAGTGGGGAGAGCTTAAATCCCTGTAGCTCCCCTTGCATCCACTCCTAAATATCATCAATTTTATTGTTTTATCAAATAATCAGTAAATGCAGTTTGTTTACTAATCACTTCAGTTTTTCCTAGAAATACAGTAGGTAGTCTAGCTGAAAAGATATGAACATCCTTGCTCCAAAATTTCTGAATGCTATCTAATAGAACATTTAGTATAAAAACAAATAAGTTCAATATTACCTTAAAGTAAGGTTGTGGCCTCCAAAATCTAGTCACTAATCATGTCTTGTCAACTTGAAATAAGGACTACAGTTCATATAAACTTATTTTATGTCACCTTTTTAATATGTAATTGCTTTTCATATGTATGTCCAATAAAATCATGTTTTATGAGACAGCTCCTGTTCTGTATGATGCTGATTGTAATTACGATTCTGTATCTTTTGACTGTCCATGTATTAGAAAACTGACCAATGGAAGATTTTACCAAATCTTCATATAACATATACCATAGTGTAAAGTGCCCTGTTGCTATGTTGCTTAGGTGGTAATGTACTGTAAGATTAAAGATATACCCTTATAAATCTTCCTTAGAACAGACTGCATACAAACTCTATATACAGATTGCTGCTCTAAAAATGCTAATGACATGGCACTCATTTAAAGGACTGCTCTACTATCTGGTGCTTTGTTAACAAGAGTCCTCCTACTAATGTAACACATAGAAGAGAAAACCAGGAAAATGGGAGAGTGCTCTCATAAGTGACTTCTTCTGTATCCAATTCTCTGTTAAGTGTATACATTTATTTATTCTGTCTTTGTTACGCATAAGAATTAATTTAAATTTATTATTATTTACAGTGATTTTGTTAAAATAAACTCTTACCATACAGTAGAAACTTGATTTAACATTTTTTAAGGAACCAGTGAAAAAATATGTTAAATCACAGAATACATAAAACTTGAATATCCTAAAAACGCATACCAGAATGTACAAATACATGCATATACATCCATTCAGAATGGATAAGGAGAAACAAAACCCATATATTACCAATATAAACACTTGCATGAAAGCTTTTATTTCATACAATGTAATGTACAACAATCAGCATCTGTAGGCATTTTATACTAAGAAAATGAACTGTTATGGTGTCTTTTCAAAGTAATTAACAATATTTGTTTCCTGTTGAGAACTTGGTGTATCTTTATCTTTATCTGGACCATAGAATCTATACTGTACTTTGAAAACTAATGTGATATCTCTTTACACTTTTTGCTATGCTAATCTGTAAGTCAAGCAGGTTGCAAAGGCTCCAAAACTATAAAATATGGCTTCTCTGACTATCATAAGATGATGAAACAATCTCAATAATTTATTGAACTTTTATAACTCAATTGACTATGCAAATAATAAATTCAGTACATTTCTTTTTTCAAAAACATTGAGATAACATTTATCTAGGGATCAAGTTTTAAACGTGTTAAATCCCAAAAATATGCAAAATCAAAAGTTGATAAATGCAGTAATGTGGTAATTAAATTAACATTGTGGTTTATGAGAATTTAAAGGAATGGAGAAAAAATACATTAAATCAGAGAATGTTAAATTGAGTTCTACTGTATTTATTTATTCTATTTATCTGATATAATAGAAGATTAATGTTTTGTCTCTTTTCTTTTTTAAACCACATTAATTTAAATTTATATTTTAATTACTAAGTTTAAATTTAATTTTAAAATTTTATATTTTATTCTATTCTTCGATGAATATACTAAAATCTGTAATATGATTCTGTATATTATAAATGGCTACTTGATAAACATTTTATTATTATAGATATTTTAAACAAAAATATTAATTTCTCAGAGGTTATTGTAATTAAAATACTCCTACTCAATGCCACATAGAGAAATATTTAGCAGTCCAAATGAAACCAAATTTGTATGGTAACATTTCAAAATGTGTGGAAGTCATTCCACAAAAATATTTGTATCAAAACCTTCAATAAATGTCATTTTCTGTATTATAAGCAACAAACATTTTATTTGTACAAGATACTCATGCTGTATGGAAACTTTAGCAATGTAATGGATACTGCTCAATCTGACTCTTTGTTTTGAAGATGTAAAATAACAAGACATGGATGGCAAACCTTTTTGAGTCCATGTGCCATATAGTAAGTATACTTATCTTTAAAATTTGTATGCATGCCAAAATTTTAGACTTTGAATTGAAATATTTAAAAAAATACAATGAATATGCTTTAATTAGAATAAATATAAAGAAGCTGATTGAAGAAAGAATGATCAAGTGATAAACCAAAATCGCATATGTTACGTCTGATTATTTCTCCCCAATTGCCGTAGGTTTTCCATCCATGCCATAAGGCAATGAACATATGTTCAATGGCCAACTGTAATTTATCCTCTATGATGCATGTTATGCCAAATTTACAACTTATCCTTCATAAACCATATTTTTAAGTATCCTAATATGAAAAATCATCACACGGATTAAAATAAAAAGTTCCAAAAGTGCCATGGTGGTAAGTTTGGTACTAATTTCTTTTTTTACAGAAATGTCAAAACACCAAATTTGGTTGCATTTGAATTGCTAAATAGCTCTTTAAACAGTGTTGTATATGATATTTTAATTATAATTACCTGGTATTTAAAAACTATTATTTTGCTTATTTCATCAAAAAATTTTTACAAAGGCATATTTATTTTGAGCTATTACTACTATAAAAGTTCTCATTCAGTTTTGTTTATATAAAAATATAAATGAATTATTATTTTAAAATGCAATAACCTTTAATTACAAAAACATTATAACATTTAACATTTTAATATTGAAGCTTTTAGATTTTATAATACATTATTGGAATGTTCATTGGATATTCATAGCTTTCAAATTAAGATGCAATATACAAAGGTACACACCAAAATAAGTGAATGAAGTAAAAAAGTTGCCTTCATAGTATTAATTAAGAGATAAAATAAAGACAATATATAAGTACTTTCAATGATATCACACAATCATCTTCAGGTAAAAATAGAAAAAATGGAATAGAACTATTTTTTTCTATTCCATTTCTCTGTTTATATTTTATAATTCTATTTGATTTTTCTATATTCATTTTCATAATTAATTTGAAAATTATTGCAAGTACAATCTAATTACAAGTAGTCTTCAGCAATTACTGTATTTACTCTGTTTCAATAATCTAATTATAAGAATATCACCATGGTCTTTCTAACTTGGTCTCCTTTTAACGGAGTGATTTTTTTAAAATATTGTCTCTAAATTATTGAACAAAGAAATTCTTTTGGCTTAAAAAATGATATATAAACTGTTTTATATAAGTAGACCATAGTTATAAATGATTTATATGGCTTTTTAGTCAACTAGCAAATTAGTGAACTTCTAGCAAATTTTAAAAATTTTCTAGAAGATCACTAATTTCTTGTTGATTTTTCTCATCTTCATATGGACACAAACTTGTAAATTAGATTTACACTGTATATCTCATTTCTGAAAACCTTTCATAGTCAAAATCTTCTAACTAGGGACAAGCTTTTCCATTTTCTTATAGTCAAAATTTATACGTTGTTCCAGCGCAATTCTGTCCGTGTTCTAATAAAACTTAAATGCTATGAAACCTGTCAATCAATGCTTCTAAATGAAATGAAATAAAATAAATGAAAATATTGATTAGGTTATTCATAGATATAAAAGGATATAATATGAAATGAGAAGAGCAAATACAAGAAAAGCAAACATGTAAGTTATCAGACATTTCTTTATTTAATGCTAAGAAAACAATAGTTAGTTAAGACAATATGTAAGCAGAAACAAATAAAATAGAGTAAAATGAAATTGTTTTTTTAATTAATTAAAAGTGTAATCCCTGATAGAAGGGTTTGTAACGTAGAGATAAAGTTAACTAAACTGCGCAACTGTGTGAAAACAAATACACAATATGAATGAAACAAGAAAATGGGGACTTGAAACTAAGAGCCATATAATTGGAGCTCATAGGAATTACAGTCTCATGGCACTTGTGATTAGAATATTTTGTTCTCATAAATATTAATTGATACTCATTGTATTGTAAATTGGGAAGAGAGATA